GGTTTTCAGAATTTATTATGAAAAACTTTGAAAACTTATAGTTTAAAACAAGGCTTAGAAAATTTGTTATGCAGTGACCCAAACAAAGCAATGTGTTTTTTTTTTACAAAATGGAACTTTTGCAATAAACAGCTTTTCCAAACAAAGTTTGTCTATCGGGAAGCTCTAAATAAGGAATAATACCATTTTAAAGCTGCTAAGAAAAAAGAACAGTTCTACAAAATGGAAACTTTGAGAGTTTGCAAAGTGACTTCATAAAGTAATGATACGCAAGTTTGCTTGAGCTATTAAAATGAAAGTTAATTTCAAAGCTTTATCCAGGTTTTGCAGTGATTCAAATATGTTCGTGTCTTAGATAAAATTACAAAGTTTAAAAGCTAGTGCATTTGCGTTACAGTTTTAGAGCTATGCCTTACACACAGTTATTGTAATTTATATTTGGGTTAAAGTAAATTGATATTAAGCAAATGCAAGGCTGAAGCATATTGTAAAATGGTATTATAAAATATTTATTTAAAAATAAAATTAGCTTCTGTAAGTCAATAAATTTTCAGGAAAAGTTAATACAAAAAAAAAAATAATATTATTTTAAAATATTTATCGGCTTGAAAGAATTTCTAATATAACTTAGTTTTCGTTGACTCCATATATCTGCAAATTTATTTAAAATTAAATTACAAAAAATGGCGCCTTTTACATTTGGAAACCTCAGGAAACTGAATGAAGCTATTAAAAAATGTATTTTCCTTTTGATTTCAAAGTTGCTTAAAAAAAACAATTTTGCATTTACGCAGTGCATATCTGGATATCTGTAAATATTGAGTTTTCCTCTATACTTTGAAGTTTTCCCCCTTACTTTCCCCAAATGCCCTAACGACTTGGTTACAGACTTTTTTTTAAAATTGAGCGAATAACAAATGTGCGGCAAATATAGACACTGAGTTCCCTTTCCATTTATACGCGAAGTTTATTTGGAGTGTTTTAGCCAGAAGGATATAATAAGTATAGATACTGTCTTAAAATTTTGTAGATCATAGCTGCTGAAGCAACTTTTGTCCGAGCCCTTCCTCTAGTTTGTGGTCTAAATCTTAATGTTCTGACGACCGATGGATTTTTAAGAGAAGCTTTGATGTAATGCCTAAAATATACTAAGTGGGCTTCGCCTTACAACAAAAGGAACTCGGTGTACTTTTTTTGAAGGCATAACTAAAAAAAAACTTTATTAATCTTGATTTGCAAAGTACACAGCTTGCACTGAAGGGAAAGAACCTCTACAATTCACTTTTACGAGTGTCCTAGGGTCGGTTAACACAATGAGTCTACCCAACGGCTTAAGTGTGGTCGTCCGCAGACCGATTCCCAACCTTCCTATTACAATTAAACAAACATTTTGGCTCCTGGTGAAGTCAGGTCCCTAAGAACTTCGCCTGTCTCTAAAATCTATTGTTTAATAACAGTTTGCCGAGAAGCGACTGCGATTGAATATATTAGTTTCGAAAATGTCTTTTCTTAAAGTAGAAGGCGTTGCTTGCCACTCTTTCCTATCCTCTTTCTGAAGGTTCTTTGTTGCCCATTTCGATAATCCCTTTCTGGGTTAACCTATTAAAACCAACTCAACTGTGATCGCACTGTCATCGAGAAAGCCTCTATACCATTCAGCAGTGATGTGCCGAAATGAAAAGCACGCAAGAGGAGAAAGCTTTTGTCTTTTGGAAGTGGTCAGGAACGATTCTTTGAAAAACCACACCTTTGGTGTTGAACTTTATTCTCTTGATAACCTTGTTACATCTGCAAAGGGGAACCGAACATTTCCTATTCTTAAATTCGGCTGATATCTGTTTTCTTACTCTGCGGTTGCCTATGATACAAAGAGAGCTTACAATGTCTAAGCCTAAAGTACTTTCCAGAGTAAGAAGTCTCCGTAAATTGTCATTTAAACCGCCCGCGCTGAATATTTTTCAGCACTTTTTTCGTTAAGTTTGGTAGCACTGTCCCTAATTACTATACCAAGCATGAGCAAGATCTGCCAACCAGTTTGTTTGCAGCAGCCGCAGAAATCAGTCGACCTCAGTTTCCTTTGCGATTTCTTTTACGGCTTCAATCGAGACGAAACGGGTTCCACGGAGTAGTAACTTGAGTTCTGGAAACAAAAAACATTATATGAGACCAATCCGGTGAACACAGTGGTTGTGGACTTAGAATTGTTCACAACTACAGCTCGGTGCGATGACGCATTATCGTCATGAAAAATTCACGAGTCGTTGGCCCAAAATTCTGGCCGCTTACGACGCATGTTCTCGCACAAACGCCACAAAACCCTCAAAATAATACTCTTTATTGACCGTCTGCCGCTTTGGAACGAATTCCTGATGAATCGAACTGCGAATATCGAAAAAAAAATCGCGCACCCAAAATCGGAGTAGAACTCCAACCGAAAATCACTTCAGCGTAGTTGGTGTAAAGTATTTAGGTATTAAAGGATATTCTTCTTATTATTATTCTTCTTCCTTTATTGGCGTTGGCACTGCTTATGCGATTATAGCCGAATCAATTATAGCGCGCCATTCAGGAGATGTCCTTTTTTCGCTGTTTGACGCCAATTGGAAATATCAAGTAAAACCAGTTCGCTCTTCCCCTGATCTTTCCACTGGAGGTAAGGCTTTCCTCTTCCTCTGCGTCCACCGGCGGGTACTGCATCGCATCCATCCGGACCACAGTCGCTCTTTCTTGATTCGCTGAACTATATCAATTTCGTCGTATAACTCGAACAGCTCACCGTTCCAACGTCTGCGATACTCGCCGTTGCCAATACGCAAAGGACCATAAATCGTACGCAAAATCTTTCTTTCGAAAACCCCTAGTCGACTCATCAGAAGTTGTAGTCGTCCAAGCGTCCGCACCATTTGGCAGTACGGGAACGATGAGTGACTTGTAGAGTTTGGTTTTCGTTCGCCGAGAGAGGAATTTAATTTTCAGTCCGAAGTATCAACTGTTGTGATTTAGCGTTCCAGACTGACATTATTATGAGTGTTGAAAAGAAGTCAACTCGTGGATACGACAACTTTTTGATGACAGGAGATATTTCGTCTTGTCCTCGTTCACTACCAAATCCATTCGCTTCGCTTTCTTATCCAACCTACAGCAAGCAGAACTCACGGCGCGGCTTTTGAGGCCGATAATGTTGATATCATCGGTATACGCCAGCGCAATATCCTCTCACAGAAGGTTGTACCTTCTTAATACAGCAGTGAAGCCTTATAATTTGCTCCAGAAATAAATTAAAGAAGTCACACGATAAGGAATGACCCCATCTGAAAGCGCATTTGGTATCGAACGGCTCGGAGGGGTCCTTCCGAATCTAGAGGCAGCACTTTTTCATGTTATCGAAGGTTCTGTTCACAGGTCTTTTCAAAATTTGGTGCAACGTGAACGTTTTATCAATTGCGAATTCACCAGATCTAAAGCTACACTAAAGCCCAATAAATTTGGTGGCGGTGGACTTTAGTCTTTCACACGAAACGCTCGATATGACCTTATATGCGAGCTGATGGGGGTGTGGACTACGGTATTTGTCGCAAACAGCTGATCGTACTTTTAGATATTCTTACTTCTATCGTTGTCATATGTAAAAGGGTGCTACACTAGCTTAATCTACATCGACGGATCCAAGTAGACTGTGAAAGTCCTAAAACCTCCCTTTTCACTTCATCCAAAACACTTAGCCTACAACTTCTGAGCAGGATTTCTAAGCAAAGACATCACCTTTATATGAGCTGTAGACTATGGGAACATACTCGGTAATGAGAAAACTAAAAAGTTGGCTAAATCAGGAGTACCGCCTGCCGATACCAAGCCAGAGGAACGTTTGCTTAGAACTGTAAGACAAAGGAAACTAACTGAGCAGATCTTACATAAGCCAGACAATATAAATGCAAAGCATTTACCAACCCTGAACGATATTTTTGTGTGTGATTTCAATAATTTTTGTTACGAGATCAGCTGCTTGCAGCTTCAATGTTGTCCTCCAATGCGTCAATTGAAGCGTTCTTACCTGTATAGACATTAGGGTTAACATTGTCACACAAAATGTAGTCTGAAGGCGTAAAATCGCACGATCTAGGCGGCCAATTGATTGGTCCCGAACGTGTAATCAAATGTTCACCGAACTCTCCTCTCAATAAGTCCATTGTTAGGCGTGCTATGGCACGTGGTACCGTCTTGTTGAAACCACATGTCATGCAAATCAAGCTCTTGCATTTTGGCCAAAAAAAGGTTTCATTCGATTCGCATGATCTTTGAAGAACTACGGTCCATTGATGCCACCAGCCCATAAAACGCATCAAACTGTGACTTTTTCTGGATGCATTGGTAGCTCTTGCAATGCTTCTGGCTGATCTTCACTCTAAAATCGAAAAATCTGCCAAAAGTGAGCTTCTTCGCTGAATACAATTTTTTTTTACTTTCCTTCAATAATTTGCTTGTTCCAGTGTTGCCAAAAGGATAAAAGCTAAAAAAAACTACCTTTTAGTTCACCAATAACAAGAAAATAAAAATAAAAAACTTAGTTTGCCTGCAGCAATATTTAAACCATGAACCTCACGCGCTACAGCGACAACCTCTAACCACTAGGCTATCGCGGCGATGGCATCTAAACAGAGTATAACTGAGAAAGGCACTCAGCTGAGACGGGATAGATGTAAAACCAGCATACTATGGTAGAAATTCTTATTTATTCCATTACCAGCGAACTGCTATACAAAAAACCAGATGATATGATCTCATCCTCGAAATGCTAGTACTTAACTAGTATATATGCGTACTGGTCTACATTCTTCCTGCAGGATATATACGTACATATTTATGTCATTTAACTTTCAAAAAATATACAATTTTGTATAACTAAATTCTTTTTCTTAGACTACTACTTACATAAATATGTATGTAATTACTTTTTAAAAATTTACAAATCGCTTATAAAAATACATTTTTTTGTTTTTTTCCATACAAAAAATCTGAGTAAATGTTAAAGGCACACAGTAGGACGATTGTTTGGCCAAAAAGCCAGCCAAACAATATAATTATTACACACACAAGCACACACACATCAACATCAGCACTTCTCACACAATTATTCATTCACGTCGTTACTACTAACGGCGCTTGCGGCCGTTGTTACTGTAGCAACACTCTCATTTGTCTCCGATTTCGGTACAATTGTCGGCATTTTGCCATTGGTACGCTCCAACAACGGTGAACTATCCAATGTTTTATTATTTAATACCACATTTGTTGGTGGCCGATTTTTCAACTCTTCAACACTTGTGAATTTTGTCTGCTTGACATTTTCACCTGCCGTCGTCGGCATAGATTTGAGTTCAACCGAACGTTGACGTGTGCAGAGAATTTCAATTGGGTACCAGCACAGCAGTATGAGACCGACGCCGAAGCAAATGCAAGCGAAGATTTGTCCGCCCATCAGGATTTTCGGTAACAACTGTAAATCGGAAGCGAGTTCGGGTGTTATGCGCACTTTCTGTTCGAACCAGATGAGCGGAAAGTAGACACGTGGTACGTCCTCGTAAAGGCTGTGAATGAGAAGAGATGGTACGGAGATATTATTATATATAAAAATATTATTGAAAACCAATATTAGTTATTGTTATAACCGTTAATATTATTATTAATTGATTTATTGTTATTTAGTGAGCTTGAAAATTGAAAATCAAAAGATTAAAAAAATTTAAATAGACTTTATGCAGGAAAAAAGTGACGAAGGAAACAGCTGTTTTGGAGATCACAACATCTCCACATACTCAAACCCTTTATAGCAGGAATCAAATCACTTTTTTTAGAAAGTTGTTTTTTATAGTCCTCCAAGCCATCGAAAAAAATATTTTTTAACTTTAGTAGTCAACGTAGTCTTTTTGACAACTGGAGAACACATAAGAAGTTTGAATCAAGGATTATTAGACTTGGCTCACTTAATTGTTGTTGTCCTACTTCTTTACTGTTGTTGTTGTAGCGGTTCGCTAACACCGCTTAGGCCCAGGTTTGATCAGTCTAAGTCGCCGAGGTCATCTAATGGGAGGTCCAGGAAACGAGCTGTTTCGACGGGGTTGGACTAGAGGGAGAGGGGGGTTAGATGAGTTGGTTTCAGAAGACATGTGAACAGGTGGTTAGTGTCGTGCGGAGACTCTCCACATGCAGGGCATACGTTGGGTATGCTGGGGTCTAGTCTAGATAAGTAGGAGTTTAACCTGCTACAATATCCAGACCACTTCTTTACAGTCATAGACACCGCTAACGCCATTAGCCGTGTTAACGACAGATCGACATTAATTCCTCCTTTTCGCTGTTTTTCGCCAATTGGAAATACCAGGACGAGTCCTTTTCCAACTTGTCTTTTAAACTTAGTTGCGGTCTTCGTCTTCCTCATGAAATAACCACCGTATCCGCTGTCAATTTTGATTCGCTGAACTATGTCGACTTCGCCGTACATCTCATACTACTTGGTTATGGTATTCACAATTTAGAACGCGCAGAGGAACATAACACTTTTGCTAAACCTTTCTCTCAATAGTTCCCATCGCTGACTCAAATAATCTGTTGTTATCGCCCATGCCACCGCACCAAATATCAGAATGGTAATGACGAGTTTTATTGCTGGCCTTCAAGATAGACAAATTAACAATCACTTTAAAGTGATGACTGTTAGCAGTGACGTGGGAGCCGGGTCTCAAATACGATGACTGTTTGTTTGATGACAGGAGATATTTCGTCTTGCCCTCGTTACCCCCAACAGATTTTTACGCTCCGCTTCCTTTTCCTGTTCAGAGAAAGCAGAATTCACGGAGCGATTATTGAGGTAACTTATGTCAAAATCATCGTTTCAGGCCAGAAAAAGTACCTTTACTACCTCGATCTGCAGTTCGTGTTATTTTCTCCAGCAAAAAAAATTATGGAATCAGCTTGTCTGAAACCTCGTTTGATATCAAATGGGCCGGGGAGGATCTTCCCTATCCTGACAGAGCTTTGGTGTTGATTAACATCAGATGGAACAGCCGTCTCAGATTTGCTGTAATACCAAATTCAGACATAGCGACGTAGATGCTGCTCCTTTTCGTGCTGTCGTAGGTTTTTTTTTCGAAAAAGTGAAGATTTGGCGCATGGTGGACATCTGCTCAATAGTGGATTCAGCAGCTCTAAAGCCAAACTGGGGTCGTTGAGCTTTTGTCTGTTATTTAAAAGTCTTATCTCACGGTAATTGGCACAGTTTGTGGGGCTATTTTTTGTGAGGATTGGGCAGAGCACACTGAGATCCAATCGCAGGGCATGCTTTCGCCCGACCATATTTTGTAAAGAAGCCGACGCTTGCATCTTACCAGGTCTTCGCCATCGTATTTGACCGCTCAATCAGCAATCCGTAGGCTCCCGCAAATCTGTTCTCCCCACAACTCTGTGCCCCAAAAGATTTTGCTTCGATCTGGAATCCTTCTCCTTTCACGCACGTGAATAACGGTCTATTGTGACTGTTGTTGGCTAAGGAAAACAGAACCATGTTAAGTCAGAATTCGATTCATACTATAAGAAGTCTGGCGATTGATGGTGATCTCTAATTTTTAGGATGTTTTCGATTGGTTTCCAACAAAGAGGCTACTACAGTATTAAGCCTGCCGAGGAAACGACCACTTTAAAAACTAAACACAATGCCAAGGACTCGGCTACGGCGGCATCGTGATTAAATTGTTTTATAAATTAAAAAAAATATTTTCTTCTCTCACCTTATCCCATCTATGGGCTCCACAAGCATATTCACTTGGAAGCGCGCCGCCACTTCCAAGGCCACACCTGTACGTGGGTCCAAAATAATGTAGAATTCATGTTTGTCCTGTTCTGGTTTTAGGCCCTCCAATTGTTGTAGGTAATACGGATCAGCATTGTAGAAGTGTGGGTAAGACATAAAGACAGGTGAGCCGAAGCGGCAAGAAGAGATATTCATAACACCCGAGGGAACACATTCGCCACCACAGAAACATGCGTTCTCGGGATAAAGGGTGCCTAATTAAAATAATAATGAAATTAAATTAAATTAATTATATTTAAGATTATTCACCATACCGTTATCAATAGAACGCGCGCCACCAGTATACTTAAAACCAAGCACACCCTCAATTTCTGTCGTCTCTACATAATCCAAAGGTATTGTACGACACATATCGGGCGTGAAAAGCTCTATGCTGCCATTCTCTTTCAGGTACGGTGGATGAAATTCACCAGCCGAACCGTTAACTAGACCACAAGTCGACCGGAAGAAGCCAGTGTGTTGTTTGAAATTCCATGTATGCATTTTGCCGATCTTCGAGATATCATCAGCGCCGGTGTACACATTGAAAACACCCGTTAAGTCGGCACTGCCATTACGCTGGGTATGGGAAAAGCAAATAATTAGTAAATGCTTTAAGGGAAAACTTAATGGGAAGGAATAGTCCTCTACTCACCGTGTAAAACCAACCAAACTTATCGAAAGGCACCTCAACCTCCTTCCCGAACAGTGGCATAGCGCGCGCCATATCCAACATATCATCGCTGTAGCCGGTAAAAAGCATTTCATCGACTGTACGCTCAATCGACATTTCCTGCCCATACAACTTCAGACCCACATCGACCAAATTGCGACGCACACTGTTCCAACGTTTGGCCTTTCCAGCTGCGGACTGTAGCAAAATGTAAAAAGGTCTTACATAGATTTCAGGAAACTATAAGTAATAAAAAAATAATAATGAAAAAAATAGTAACTCACCAATGCCACCGCATTCAATGTAACGATCACATCGTCCAAACTTCCATTACTGCCCTCCGCATCAAAGTAGAAATCACTCTTTTTACGATATGTCACCGTGGCGTTCAATGGATTCCATTCTATATCCACCTTATCCTGCTTCTCGGTAAAACGATACGGACCCAATTGTTCTAAAATAGGTTTTGTACTTTGGTTGGTGAAATCTTCTGGATTCGTCCAATTGTAGAGGTAAATGTCTAAACTCAAAGCTAATGGCGGGTTTTTCCATTTATCATAAACCTGTGAGTTGGGTCGCAGAGTCATCTCCTAGAAGGAGGTGAGATTCAAAAATAGGTGAAATAATTAATATAGCTGAGTATATTTCATTTTTACATTATATTTAGGCACAATTTAAAGAGAAGATTTGCGATTGCTTTCCGAAAGGAATCAGTTGCCTCTAAAATTTTTTCTTTCCTGAAAACTCGCGATCGGTCTCGGGTTCATTACAGTCCGGATTGTCATTTGTTTTCGGTCACCGGTCTGTTGGATTTTCCGATTATCTTTTAGGTGGGTGGGTCCCTCGGTCGGTTAGGCGACGTCAAAAAAAACACACCAACATTTTCAACAATATTGCAACAAAACCTGAGAAGTGCTCCCCTTGGGCCTTTAATTACTTAAGGGAGGATGCTGGTCCAGTATTTTTCAAAAGTCTAAAAATTTGTTTTTTTGGCTTAACAGGTGCTAAGACCCTAAAGAAAAAAAATAAATACATTTTTCATTCGACGTCAGTACCTGACAGTTATGCCTCGAGCACATTACAAGTTTAAACGCATCTTTCTCGAAATCACTTTTTTTAAACTTGCCGAAGTCATAAGTAACTCGAACAAATCTTCATCGATTCTTATGAAATTTTGACAGTACATTCGAATTACTGTTCTCCATAGATGGACGTAGGATTTTTTTTATAATACATAGTTACATAGACAAAAATTCAGGAGTTTGCGTCTTCGGCCATGGACCCATTAGAAACAAAGGAGTCTTCGGAGAAATAATGGGCAGTGGCCATTTTGAAATTAATTCAAATGGAAAACTGTGTATTTAGTATACCATGAATCCTATATTATTAAACCTATTTCCCGTATTGATGCCCTTGTCGAGCAAAATAAGTTCATAAAATATCTCCATTTCTTGCGCTCCAGACCAGTTCCTCCCTCTTAGGACTGCTTGGGCTAAATGTAATGTTTCGAGGTATAAAGCCACTTGGCAGTAATTTTTGTAGTGGTCGGCTTGGATTAGGATTTATGAGCCTTACAAAGTGCTGAGACAATCTTATTACCAGTCCTTTGTGGTACTATGGCCTACAGTGAAAGGCACAGAAAAATCAATGGCCGCTTTTACTCAGAACCTAACCACTTTTTAAATATCTTCGATTATCAGGGATGCATGGAATATACAACCAATAATGATCATGATGGTTATATCCTCGGCTCTATTGTGGCTATATCTTAATTATTTTGTTTTATTTTATTTTTTTTAGATTTGCGTAATTTTTTATTTCAATTTAGTTTAATTATTTTATTTTCTTTACTTGTTTATTTATTTATTTTAGGAAGGTACAAGCATAGAATAATCCGTTGGCCAGCACAGTATCGATGACCATGAGTCGGTCTACGAAGTAAAATGGATATGCCTGACCTACGATTTTTGATTAATTAATTGATTAATTCCTCAGGTTCCTGATAATTAGTTAGGATGGAATTAAAATGACCAGTTAGATTAGTTTAGTCTGCACTGTTTTGCACTTATTTCTCTCGATTTTACATTCTCTGGCAGGTTTTTAAAGCCTATCAGCCTCATAATACAAGAGAGCTTCTTGTTCATAGTTCACTTCTCAAAGAGGAATTAGGGGACCATAGGACGTTCTGAAAGGTCTCCATATTTAATCGGCTACCTCGTTGCCTTTGATGCTCTTTTGCACTAGCACCCAGTAAAGATGTATTGTTCTTAATGGCAGCTCAACTAGTTACATTTAATACTTGAAGGCGAGCTCTCCTTTTGTATGTGTCAGTTCTTTGCAGTAGTTTTGCCGCAATTTTTTCTATCAAATATTTCTGTTTACGAGATACTGTAGGGATTTGGCAACCTAAATGGCTTTAAGCTACCGCCTACTCGGTCATTCATTTCATAGGAAGCTGTAAAGGTATCGAAAGCTTTGCCTGCGAGCATGAGTCTTTTGTACCAATCATTTGCCTCTGTAACATCTACCACAAGCTTCCTAAATGTCAAACGCGATGCCAGTTGTAGGGATGCATTTTATAGACTGCCACGAATCATCGTGATGGTTATCATCTTAATTCTAATGTTTTTCAATTTGACTGAAAGGAAGTCCTTGAGCGACACCGGATCGCTCCGATTTAAAGACCCGACTGTTGTAGAAACTATTTGATTTTAATCTTACGACAGGCATGCTTTACAACGGAAAATTCTTGAATATAGACTAGTTGGATAGTTTCTTCAGCAGAGCTCAATGAAAACTATCAACTAGCGTTGGATGATTTTTAATACTTTTTACTACCTCGAAAATTCGTAATTGAAGCGTAATATATAAAAAGCATGATGATCTTCGGACCGAGTCTGCAATCACGTGAGCACTGATCAGTTAGTGTCAATGAAAGAAAAAACAATCAGCTTTCATTCTTTGTAGAAAGGCCTTCATACACTATTTTTAGCAATTGCACAACTCGCAAAATTACAAAAAATAAGGCGAATCAATAAAATCACGTGCGTTGAGAGCAAAAGACTTGATTACAAGCTCTTCACAACGGTTGCACGTTTTCCAAAGTCTCGTGCGGCTTTATGCATGCTTTGGTTAAGTCAATGAGATCAATTAGTTTTGATTAAAAGGTCAGTAAAAGGTTGAATGCGCAATCTTTGAAAATCCCTTTTTGTAAAGCATAAAAAATGTATTTCAATTAATTAGAGCAAATAATTAAATAGAAGAAAAATTTGCTCGTTATAAAATATTTTATCCAATTTAAATTTTAATTTATGCTCCAAAGAACGATGAGAAAAGCTAAGCCAAAACTCAATTTTTTTTATATTAAAATTGATCTGATTGTATTGTACGTGACGGCCACTTCATTGCTGCTCAAAGTTCTTTACGAAAATGTCACTATTATTGCGTCTGAAAGTAAATTCAGTAATAAGAACTATAAATACATATATATGAACTGAATTTCAAGTGAATCGGGCTCTACAGATTTTTCGTATAATTCGGCCCGGAGGCGACTTCTCTAAGAAATAATTAGTATTTCCGGTAACCATAGAAACCAACTAACAAATTTTCAGCATTTCGGAGATCACAGTAAACAAAAATACATACAATCAAATGTTTACATTACAAATAATATATATAGAAATAAATTTAACATTCAGTAATAGATCTTACCTTTTCCACTATGCTATTGAAGATTTGTTCCCAAAACATGCCGCACAGCACACCGAAAATGCCCAAGCAGAAGCCGATGATGCCAACAATCATTTTGTGATTGCTTTGCTGCCATTTTTTCAAACTACTCCCCTTTTTAGGCATTTTTTTTTTTACAAAATATTTGTTTACAACTTTTTTTAAATGTTAAAATATGAAAATATTGGCAAGGACGGCAGGCAGTTAAATGCAATTTATTTTTTTTTCTGCAAAAAAATAATCGAAAATAATTATCCGTAAATCATGTTTTTTTCAGTAAATATGTATGTGGCGGCCGTGGTAGCCGAATGGTTAGTGTTGCGTACTGATATTCGGAGGGCTCGGGCAAAAAGTAAGGTGAATTTGTTTTCTTAGATTTTTGTGGTGTAGTGCACTGTGAATTCCTTCCGCCCGGTCAAGCGGTAAATAAGGAATATTATGTAACCGTTATGCGTCGTTTGTGTGAAGCAATTCGCAAAAAAATACCAAAATTATGCGCCAACAATTCTTGGTTTTTGCATCACGATAATGCACGGTCGCACTCAGTTCGCTTTTCTCGTGATCGTTTCGAAAAGAATTCCACGTATTTCGTTCCCCAAACACCGTATTCGCCGCACTTAGTACCTTGTGACTTCTGGCTCTTCCAACAACTCAAGAGACCACTTCGAGGACAACGTTTTGAGTCAATTGAGAAGTTTAATAGTGAATCGGCGCGCTCTCTGAAGCCCACACCAGAACGTGACTATTTGACATGCTTCCATAATTTTAAAAAGCGTTGGCATGAGTGCATTGCATCGGTAGGGGACTATTTTGAGGGCGACGAATCGACATAGAAAATAAAGAAAAATTTTTAATTTTACAAACAAATTCACCTTACTTTTTGCGAGCGTGTGTATAAATAAAATAAATATGAAAATTATGATGATCTTGACTTGAATTGAAGATTTCTTAGCACTTGCTTCCTATTCTAATATTTTGTTTATTACACTCTTAAGTGAAATCATAAAAGTGGGTCGAGTGTTTAGCACTTTGCCGCTCATTTCAATAATTAATATGACCTAATGCAGTGAACTTCGTCAGGCACGCACACTCTGCATTGCATTTAAGGTATATATAAGACGTATTTAAGCAATTGTCGGTAGCCTTTGATCAATTTTAAAGCAAAAGTGCAGTTAATTCTTCTCTTTTTCACAATTTAACTGATTAAATTTAATTAAATACTTTATATCACACGAAAAGGTCCGTCAGTATGGGGAAGGACCTCTTTTAGACGTTCGATATCGAACGAGGTTTCAGACAGGGTGACACTTTATCGTGTGATTTCTTCAATTTGAAGCTGAAGAAAAAAATAACAACTGAAGAGCTGAATAGTTAAAGCTGCTGGCGTGTGCCAATAACATTGAAATCGTTGGTCTCAAAGACCGCGACGTGATTTATACTTTCATAACACTCGAGTTGTCCACCTAAGATCAGCACCACCATCTCGAATTTCAACGCAGAATTACCCCAGCCAACAGATACTACGTGGAAGATACTGACATACTTGTATGATGAGTCGACGCTTTCAACTTTTGAAAGAAATGTTACCACCGACGATGGAACGGTGGACTGTGCGAGGTATGATATGGACATTAAGGTTCTGGCTACGCTTGATGTCTGGTAAATCAAAAGTGTCAAGCCAAATTATTTTTTTTTATATCTGCCGACTGATTAAACAGGTGGAAAAATATCCTGAGTCCTTTTTATCAACCTTAAGCCTTTACGTAAGTTTCGAGAAATATTTAGAGATTTTTGTTAAGCTCCCGACTCATATGTTAAAGTGCCTGGAAGTGTTGAGCTCCGACTTACAAAAAATACACATATTTTCTTTGTGACCAGCTTAATGCTCATGTTTCCAATTCAGATCTATCATGTGGATGTCAGTCCGGAGAGTTTTTTTAGTTACAAGTTTACGAGAATAGACACCCTTGAGTCGACATCACCAGATAAGAGATGGATTGTTATGCCTTTGACCATCAGCGGTTTCCTGGACAGATTGACCTCACGTCACGCTGGCCTAATACCATNGTCTCGACTATCCTCAAATGGTTTTTCGATCTGATCTTTGTGTAGGTCTCGTTTTCACTTAAAGTTTCGGTCTTGATCTAGGCTTTCGATTCGCATCTGGCCGTAGTATTGATATCAGTCTTCGCTTATTTCATTTATTTCTCGCTTTATACATCCTAAATTGATGACCAACACCGCATTGAGTTACGCATGTTACGCTAGCATATCATCTCATCTCATACATATATCGTTTATAATTTTATTTCGTGCAAAATTGAATATATCAATTGACCCCATGAGCTTCTCGACTCTTCAGCTGCTCTCGTTGTGCCTCTTTTTGTCTCGTGGTGTGTGCGTTGTCGTAGGGTCTTTGACATTTTTTCACGTCTTATTTTACATTCGCACGTTTTTGTTATTTCTATTATCATATTTTATGCGCTCGACGCACACACACACACATATATATACACATTTCGGCGCTCTGTTTCTCAGTGTGTGTATGTATGTGCAGTTAAAATTTAATAAATGTTTTAATGAAGTATTGAACTTTGCTCTCTTGTACATACATACATATATATAGATATATATATATATATACATATATATATATTTTCAAAATTTATGTGTGTAGTTGTGTGAAAATTATTTAACATTCAGCAATAAAAAATATGTAAGAAAAATTAAATGAAGTGCGAGAACCTTCACAAAAGAAGCTATGCGCTCTACAAAAAACAGTCCGCGCTATGAGCGAAAATTAATGAGATATTAAGTAATACTCTTAATTTAAGTTTTGGGAAGAGCAAGTAACAAAATGAAGTGTAAATTGACCTCATTGGTTAATCAAGGAGAAATGAAGACAGACTAGGAGACATCAATGGAGCCTTGGGTCACAGCTAAAAAAGAGGAAGCTTGAGTGGAGCTACTCCGATATATTCCGTTTAAGGGTTCGCTGTAATCTAACTGCAGCGTCTGTTCACCAGAGGTGCGGCTGCAATCGGGCGCCGGTCTTAAAGCAAGCGGCTCGCTATAATTACTGTATTCCAACTCATACTGCCTCTTCGTTGACTTTAAAACTGCCTTCAGTGCCACTGTTCTGTCTTTTTCTCTTCTGTTTATGTGTCTCCTTGAGGATTGAGCAATTAGCACTGCTTGGAACATTAGTAATTTGCATAGGAAATTAATAGCAATGGATGTAGTAATGTAATCGTGGGTTAAAGCTGCATAGATCCGTCCATGATCTGACAGCATAAGGACTCATAGAAACAAAATGAGATATGCACAATATAATTGCAATCATGCATATTCATTCTGTGTGCATATGTATATATGTACATACATAGGGGCATATCAATTTAGCAATTATTATGATGAGCATTTTCATTTCGTTTGAAATATCGTTCCCCAAACACCGTATTCGCCGCACTTAGTACCTTGTGACTTCTGTTTCTTCCAAAAACTCAAGAGACCACTTCGAGGACAACGTTTTGAGTCGTCTGAGGAGATTAAACGTGAATCAGCGTGCTCTCTGAAGCCCACACCAGAACGTGACTATTTGACATGCTTCGATAATTGGAAAGAGCATTGGCATGAGTGCATTGCATCGGAAGGAGACTATTTTGAAGGCGACAAATCGATGTAGAAAATAAATAAAGATTTTTAATTTTACAAACAAATTCACCTTACTTTTTGCCCTCAAGTATACGAGTGTATGTACGTATGTATAACTGTGTGTATAAATAAAATAAATATGAAAATTAGGATGATCTTGAGTTGACTTGAAGATTTCTTAGCACTTGCTTCCTATTCTAATATTTTGTTTATTACACTCTTAAGTGAAATCATAAAAGTGGGTCGAGTGTTTAGCACTTTGCCGCTCATTTCAATAATTAATATGACCTAATGCAGTGAACTTCGTCAGGCACGCACACTCTGCATTGCATTTAAGGTATATATAAGACGTATTTAAGCAATTGTCGGTAGCCTTTGATCAATTTTAAAGCAAAAGTGCAGTTAATTCTTCTCTTTTTCACAATTTAACTGATTAAATTTAATTAAATACTTTATATCACACGAAAAGGTCCGTCAGTATGGGGAAGGACCTCTTTTAGACGTTCGATATCGAACGAGGTTTCAGACAGGGTGACACTTTATCGTGTGATTTCTTCAATTTGAAGCTGAAGAAAAAAATAACAACTGAAGAGCTGAATAGTTAAAGCTGCTGGCGTGTGCCAATAACATTGAAATCGTTGGTCTCAAAGACCGCGACGTGATTTATACTTTCATAACACTCGAGTTGTCCACCTAAGATCAGCACCACCATCTCGAATTTCAACGCAGAATTACCCCAGCCAACAGATACTACGTGGAAGATACTGACATACTTGTATGATGAGTCGACGCTTTCAACTTTTGAAAGAAATGTTACCACCGACGATGGAGCGGTGGACTGTGCGAGGTATGATATGGACATTAAGGTTCTGGCTACGCTTGATGTCTGGTAAATCAAAAGTGTCAAGCCAAATTATTTTTTTTTATATCTGCCGACTGATTAAACAGGTGGAAAAATATCCTGAGTCCTTTTTATCAACCTTAAGCCTTTACGTAAGTTTCGAGAAATATTTAGAGATTTTTGTTAAGCTCCCGACTCATATGTTAAAGTGCCTGGAAGTGTTGAGCTCCGACTTACAAAAAATACACATATTTTCTTTGTGACCAGCTTAATGCTCATGTTTCCAATTCAGATCTATCATGTGGATGTCAGTCCGGAGAGTTTTTTTAGTTACAAGTTTACGAGAATAGACACCCTTGAGTCGACATCACCAGATAAGAGATGGATTGTTATGCCTTTGACCATCAGCGGTTTCCTGGACAGATTGACCTCACGTCACGCTGGCCTAATACCATGGCGTGGCGATCGCAAAATACTTCTGACGTTTCGTGGATCGTAAGTTATCGACCTCACTAAGTCAAGTATATCGGAGTAGTCAATATTTTATTGAAATTCAACCCATCCTATATTGCAAGATATATGTAGATTTGAGAGGCGGAATGATCTCAAAAATGTGTTCTCTGCCATTCAGGATTACAATGTATATACATATAATATTATATGTACATATGTACATAATTGGCGCTTTGTAATCGATAATGGGACTTTTGG